AATTGGGAAATTAGGGAATTGGGAAATTAGGGAATTGGGAAATTGGGAAATTGAGAAATTAGGGAATTGGAAAATTGAGAAATTAGGGATTTGGGAAATCAAGGAATTAAGAAATTGGGAAATTGGGAAATTAGGGGTTTGGGAAATCAAGGAATTAGGAAATTTGGAAATTGAGAAATTAGGGAATTGGGAAATTGGGAAATTAGGGAATTGGGAAATTGGGAAATTGGGAAATTGGGAAATTGAGAAATTAGGGAATTGGGAAATTGGGGAATTGGGAAATTGGGAAATTAGGAAATTGGGAAATTAGGGATTTGGAAAATTGAGAAATTAGGGAATTGGGAAATTGGGAAATTGGGAAATCGAGAAATTGGGAATTTCAAAAATTAGAAAATTAAAAAATTAAAGGATTAGAGAATTGGAGAATTGGAAAATTAGAGAATTAGAGAATTAGAGAATTAGAGAATTAGAGAATCAGAGAATCAGAGAGTTGGAGAATTAGAGAATTAGAGAATTAGGAAATTAGAAAATTAGAAATTGCAAAATTTTGAAATTTTCAAATACATTTATTTGCACTTTTAATGTGAGTAATTAAATGCTTGCAATTTTAAGTAATTTGAAGAATTTAGTTTCGCGTGAAACTTTAAGCATTTTGTAAGCTTGTGACATAGTATGTCATATGCAAAATTATTATTTATCTTTTAGTGGAAATTAAAGATGAAGGTTTGGACTTTATCCATACATTTCGTCAAACTTTGTAATTTTCAATATTGCAAACATGACCTCACATTTACGGTGTTATTGTGGTAGGAATGCATCAAATCTAAAATCAAACTACAGGGTCTTAAAGTAGAGATCTCAAGCTTTAATTTAAAGAAAAGAACATAAATTTGCAATGATTTTTCACAGAGTTATCATCAGTCAAATTTGGCCAATTTTTGCCTAAAATTTTTCTATGCCATATTTCTTTTGAGCAGTGTACTTTATGTTGATTATAACATTCACATATTTTGTATTCATTATAAAATGTATATACTTTATGTTCATTATGAAATGTACATATTTTATATTCATTATAACATTTGTTTATTTTGTATTCATTACACTGATTCATTTTATATTAACCATACAGCAAATATTTCCTAACATGACCTCTAAATAGGAGTTATCTCTCAAAATGCAGGCGATGTCAGGCATGTGAAGGCCAATTCGCAATGCACCCCATAATCTCACACCCTCCGTCATCATCCCCCACATACATCACCAAAACTATAACCATTGATCAAGTACATGTCTCTGCGAGTATCGCAAAGGGCAATTTGCCCGCAGGGTTCTAATTTTCTCGACAGAGACCGCGTAGCTAGAAAAAGACAGAGACAGTCGTCACGCATTGTCACCTTCTGAACAATTAATTCCCGGGTTCTTGAGTTGCTGCGAGTCGTCGTAAATTCGCGGAGAGCTGACAATCGTCAATCACGTCCAAAAACAGATGCAACATGGCTGCAATAACGTGACAGAAATGGCGGCAAGGGCTGACAAGGCCCGGCTAGAAATGCAGAGCACGCCCGATACGTCTTCACGGTGCGGAGGTCAGCTGACAAAGGACACTTCGGTCGCCTTGTTTCCTACGCGATACTACACCACCGAACAACTGAATATTGCGTGGATGTGTTATACGTCTGGGTAACTTGCTCCCCTTAGAATTACTATGGGAAATAACGCTAGGGTTGTGCAGTACTTAACAGGAAGCTTTATGTTAGTTATGTAAATTCATGTTTTACTGTCTGTGTAATTGGGGTAATTCTTTTGGGGAATTTGGGGATTTAGATATTTGGGATTTTGAGAATTTTCGAATTTGGGAATTTTGAGGATTTTGGATTTTGAGGATTTTGGAATTTGAGGATTTTGGAATTTGAGGATTGGAGATTTAGAGATTTGGGGATTTGGGGATTTGGGGATTTGGAGATTTCATGACTTTAGATTTGGGGATTTTGGGATTTGGAGGTGTATGAATTCCGGAATCTAGGAATTTAGGAATCTAGGTATATAGAATTCTAGGGATATAGGACTCTAGGTATATAGGACTCTAGGGATATAGGTACTTAGGGACATAGGAGTCTAGGGATATAGGACTCCAGGGACATAAGAATCTAGGAATCTAATAAATTAAAGGTTTAGTAATTTTGCAATTAGTAATTTGGGTATTTAGATATTTGAGAATTTGGCAATTTGGTAATTTGGCAATTTGGAAATTTGGGAAATTAGGAACTTGGGAAATTGGGAAATTGGGAAATTGGGAAATTGGGAAATTGGGAAATTGGGAAATTGGGAAATTGGAAAATTGGGAAATTAGGAAATTGAGAAATTAAGAATTTGCGAAATTAGGAAATTGAGAAATTACGGATTTAGGAAATTGGGGAATTGGGAAATTGGAAAATTGGAAAATTGGGAATTAGGAAATTGAAAATTGAGGAAGTTGAGAATTTGGAAAATTGGGGACTTCGGAAATTAGGCAATTGGGAGATTAAGAAATTAGGAATTTAGGAATTTAGGAATTTAGGAATTTAGGAAATTTGGAAATTGGGAAATTTGGAAATTGGGAAATTAGGGAAGTTGAGAAATTGGGAAACTGGGTATTTGGGAAATTAAGAAATTAGGAATTTGGGAAATTAAGAAATTAGGAATTTTGGAAATTTGGAAATTAGAAAATTTAAAAAATCAGAAAATTGGAAAATGGGAAATTGGAAAAATGGAAAAATGGAAAATGAGAAAATTAGAAACTAGAAAATTAGAAAATTGGAAAACGGGAAAATTAGATAATTAGAGATTCCGAAATTTAGAAATTAAAAAATTTTTAAATACATTTATTTGTAAATTTAAAAATTCGTGAACACCCCATAATAAAAAAATTCACAAATCCATGAATTTAATGAATAATAAATATATGCAAATATATAAATTAAACATGGTAGAACCTTCAAGCTCCCATAAATCGATACCAAGAAATAACAGAAGCCCCACAATAAAATAATACCCCAGTCCCCAGCCCCTCGATCAACAAGCACAGCGCAAAGTCAGCAGAATTCACAACGCGGCACTAACCGCGTTTATTTATGTTCATTATCGCTCGAGTTTATTAAAAGCATACCCAGTTTGTTCGTTAAGCGACGAAATAATTATTTCTGAAAGCTTTCTCGGTTTGTCGAGGTAACAGCAGCAGCTCCAGGGTACTATTATGTAGTTCTTAAACGATCGTTATTAGCCCCAAGGGTGTAACACGTTAGTGCGTTGAACGATGAAACTACTAAAGCACAAGTAAATGATTAATCAATAATCTGTTGGGAACAAGTTGCTGGAACTTCTTTACGAGCTGCTGTATCGTGTGACCAGTGTATTTGACGTCGAATTATTTCTACTTGCTGGTAAGAACACTCCTGTTCGACCATTTCGATTTATTGCAGACTTCTGCGAGGGAACTTCTATTTTATTGCCGATATTACGTGAGAAACGTTCAAATTGAACATTGCCAGAGAACATTGCTGGATTTATTAAAACTGTTTAAGGTCGTCTGAATTTTGTATTTTATCATTCAATTTAGAGTCAGTAAAATTTGGAGTAAAAGATAAATTGGTGAAACTAATAACATTTTTGTATAATTTTTTGTGTAACAATTTTGACATATTTTCGGTAACTTATAAGATGACAGAACATAGTGATGGTATTCTATAGTAAATTGTAGCAAAAATAATTTGATTTGAATTATTTAAATTTTATAGAACTTTGTTTACTCCTAGCCCTTCTCAAAGCCCACTTTTATCAATTTTTATTAAATACCTTCGAAAATACTGATTTCACAGAAAAAGGTTTCAAACAAAAGATGAAGCTCTCAAACAGTTCTACAAAAAATGTTATATACATTTTTCATGTAAACCTACTATTTCGGCTATGATGAAGGTAAAAAGTATTTTTTAAAAGTGTCCTAAACAAAAGTCAATTTGAGACTCACCGAGCTATTTCAGCTCATAATAGCCAAAATAATAGGTTTACGTCAAAAATGTATAGAACCTTCTTTGTAGAGCTTTCTATGAGCTGTATTTTTTGTTTCAAACATTTTTTTCTAGAATCAATATTTCCGAATATATTTAGGAAGAATTATAAAAAACTTTGGAGGGGTCTGAGAAGTAAACAAGGCTTTGTCAGAAAATCTTTCAGGGACTTTCTTCTTTAATCAAAAATGAATTTACATTAAAAATGAATATAACCTTTTTTACAGAGCTTTCTATGATCTTCATTTTTTGTCCGAAACTTTTTTCTCTAGAATCAATATCTTCGGAGATACTGGATAAGAACTGTAAAAAACTTTGAAGGGTGGGAAATCATCCTGATTTTTAGGCTTCTCTAAGGACGAACTTTGGTTATAATTTCAATGCGATTTCAGTAACCTAGTATTGTTGAGGATTTTACCAGTGTGTTAACAAAGCAATCGATCACAATATTGGCGATAAATCGGGCACCATATCGATAACAGAAGTTGTAGGAACATAAAGTCGGGTATTGAGGTCGACTATTGTTTCGATACTCGCGGTGTTTTCTAATCGCAATTAATCGTACTGTCGCGAACCAGCGGGCAGCACACACGAAATGTCACTTTTCAGCATCATTTAACACGAGCACGGTGCGCCAGCAATAAAAGTCACCGGACGTCTGTTACTAGAAATACCAGAGATATTGGGTATCATAGCAGGCGTCGTAAATAAATCCAGTGATCCTGTTCGCCTAAGCGTATTATCCTCGTGGTAACGTTGTACATCATCCTTTTCACCGTCGTAATAAAAGCACCAAAACTCTACTGCTTTCGCAACCTACTACTTTGTGCACACCGATGTTAAGGGAACACACTGTGTGTCTGAGGATAAGTTATATAAATCGTCCCAAAGGGAGGAATATACCACGATCCAGAAAACTGTTCCATTTTTATGAAACTCTTAGTAATTGAAAATTTTTGTCGCGATACTGCTGATTGAAATATGGCCGCATCTTTAGACCTTGTCGATTTTTTGTTATTGTCGGACAATATTCTTCATAAATTTTGCAATTTTTATTTTTAGGTATTTTTAATTGTTATTTCTAATTTCGTGATTTTTAGTTTTTTAATTTTTTCTGTTAGATTTTTTAATTTTAGTATTTTTTGTTATTTCTAGTTTTATGATTTTTTTTGCTACCTATTTGATTTGTTAATTTTACTATTTTTAGTTATTTCTAGTTTTATGAGTTTCGTTGTTTTTTATTACTTTTTATTATTTTCTCTTCTTTATCCTCGAGCTTCTTTATTTTCAAAATTCAATATTCAGCATTTATGAAAGTATTCAATATTGGAAATCAAAATGTTTCCAAGCTAAAACAACTCCAGAAAAAATTAATAAACCTTTCACAAGTTCTAATTATCTCATTTTTTCCATTTCTGGAAAAATACGCGTCTCACTGTTCTACAATACACTCGTGCAACTTGTACACAAATTTTTAATTAACAAAAATGATTCGTATACAATATTCACACCGGCCACTGAAAGCCGGCGAGTCAAAGCAGGAAATTGATCTATTCAACGGCACAGAAAATCCCGTAGCTTTTACCAGTAATTAAAGCACTCAAAATGAATGTATTACTGTGGAGCAATTAAAATTTCAGCCGATGAATACGCAGCGAGGTGTAATCGCAAAACGCGTATATTTCTCGTTGAGGAAATTTCATCGTTCCGCGGTCACTATTTAACGCCGGTTAATAGCCGTTAGATCATCGACACTTCATTGTTAATTTCGTCATTAATTATTTCATATAGCGGGTGAACGGAACCGCGTAACGACGATCGTTCCATGAAATCGAAGCCATTTGCTGTCGATTATGCATTGTTGCGCAATTAATTTCTCCGTACGTTAACACATTCGTTACTGCACATCACACGTGTGTAATAGTTAATCTGCATATTTATGGTTTCTCAACTCTTTGTTGGTTCTACGGGATACGCTTGGGAAAATCAATAATTTACGTGGCTCGATTTAACTCGTATTTCGTATGAAGAAATAGCCTTTTGCCTGCTTCATTTTCTGTAGGGTCTCTGTGATATATCGCCTCTATATTTTGGAAACGGAGTTAAACATGGAAAAATTTGTAAGAAGAAGTTTGTGGAATATCAAGGGGGAAGTTAGATGGTGGCAAGAATTTGGTAAAGTTGAATTAAAAGGGTAAAATTCTTGCTACCATCTTACACCCCTCTTGATATCCGTTAACTTTTATGAAACCTTAACTGAAACCTTTTCATCTTCAAAGCCGTTTCCGAAATACACTTCTTTCGCATAATTAGTTCAAAAACGAGCGAACGAAAATGAACTACGTATCCCTCGCAAACGAATATCAAAATTCCCATCATTTTAACTGGGATCATTGAGAATTTTTAATTCGAAAAAGATAATTAACGAACCCCGATGAAATATATGAATTTCACTGAGGAGAATATCGGTTTTTCGTTTTATTACAGATTGAAGATCACCCATGCAAAACCAGGCGACTCCGGGAACTATAGCTGTGTGCCCACTGTGGCGGAGAAGGCCAGCGTCACCGTGCACGTCATCAATGGTGAGTTGCATAGAGAAATTGCATGCTACACCGATTCTAATACCGCGTATTTTAGCCGGTCCCTTCATTGGAAACAGACCGATATTTATATTTCGAAGACCTCGAATTACAGCGGGTATTATTGGAATCGACATCACTTTTCGCATCTACGGGTTTTTGCGGAAATCATGTCGCGCGAAAAGCTTTTTATTTCTTGTATACCTATCTCTACACGCGTCAATTTGACGCACGAACGAATATATTTAAAGAAAAACAACTAGAGAGCAATATAATTAAACACTACAAGCTTTTAAAGAAAGTAGACTTCAATACTCACCTCGTTCCACGGATAAAAGTCCGTACAAGATAAAATAAAAATGCGAACGGTTTTTGTAATTCTTTTTTTAAATTCGAAATGAGTCAAAATGACGCGTCTCGTAAACCTAGTAATTAAATGACAGTTAGGTTAGATTATATAGTTCAGATACGTAGTACATAAAGTAATCTAGAAACAATATTTATAAATAATTCAATAATAATGCACGAAGAAGTTTCAAAGAAATTTTTAAAAATAATTTAACATTAATACATAAAACAAATTAACACTAAAACTACCAAACCGGTCAAATGACCACTCCACAAGTTTCTTATTATAAGGTACTCATTTCGTTAAAGTAAATTCCTTGAAATCAGAATTGATTTTCATCAAGGTAAAGAATAAATGTGTGTACTAATTTATGTTCTGTCGTTTGTTTATTTATTTTTGAACTTTATTTTTAATTGCGAATTAAGTACACATTATATTCCGGTAGGTTTAGTGTTAAAGGAATATTTAAAAATAATTCAACATTACTATTCTATAAAAACCAAAATTATTTTTGCAACCAAACTGTTAATATACGTACCAAAAGTATATTCCTGAATTTTATCAGTATATTCCTGCATTAAAAACTTCCAATAATTATTTCATGAAATTCCACGAGAAGTTTTGTAACCAGTTCGATGCACAGCTTTCATCGAAGTTTTCCACCGACAACTGAAACCTATTCTTTCGAATTTCTCGAGCGAAATAGTTTCACGCGTTTGAAACACAAGAATGCAAAACGAATTTTGAAAAGATTCCTCTCGACTCGAGAACCGGCGAGTCTCTGTGTATAATAATTGAACGACGGAGGAAACTGGATTCGATCAGAACATTTTTGATCAGCTATGCTGTGAAGTAACTTCGTGATCGTAAATTGAAAAGAAAGGAAGTAGGAGATGGGTGCAATTCGAGGGGATGGAAATAGGATGAGTGATTTGAGTTTGATTGTTGGGAATTTTGAAATTTGGGAATTTGGAAAATTGACAATTTGGGAATTTAGGAGTTTGAAGCTTGGAAAATTTTCGAATATAAAAATTTGCATACATTAAAATTTCATAATTTAGAAACTTAGATATACCAGAAATTCCGAGAAATTCAAATTCGAAAATTTTCCAATATGGGAATTTGAAAAGAAACGTGAAAACATTGAAACAATTTGAAAACAACCTCCCCCAATTACGATACCAAACCTAACCTAAAAATTGCAAATCCTCAAAATGTCAAACTCAACCTAACCCAACCAGCACACATTCCTCACATCGCTAATGCAACTATCAATAGCCCATTAACTAACGTCATTAACGCTATTAACACAATCGAGAGAAAGCCCGTAAAACAGCTGAATTCATCGTCGAAATAAACAAAAAGAAGGGTTCACCCCGAAGAAATGGCTCGTTCTGTCCTGAAAAAGGCAAAGGTCTGCTGGTTTTCTCATCAGAACGGTTTCACGGTAGGGGACCCTGTAAATAGGAGGAATTAGATACAAGAACAAGATGGTGTAGCTGTAATCCAAGGATCTTTATCCGTTTCGTTGCTCGAGTTTTCCATTGCCCATTATCTCCCCTTTTGTTACAACAGTTCCAACGGGACGTAATTCGATTCCTTTCTCGAACCACGATTGACTAGCCAGGAGGAAACTAGCGGAGTGTACTTTCCTTCGTTCGTCTACGCTTCCGGATCCTGACTTCCGGTATGGTGTTCCACGCCGCATCGAAACGATTGTTGATATTCTTTTTTGACGACTGTTATCTCGAGTTCAAAGCGTTGAATCACGCTCTGATAGAACAACTGAAATAGGGTCATCATCGATCACTTTTGGACGTCAATATCTGCGATTTTCTTCTAATTAAAATATGTTGTAGTCCATGTGAAATTAGGGAAGGTTTAAGTCATACGGTAGTGACTCAATCTGTACGTACAAAGTCCAACCTAACCATACCTGTATGCATATACGTAAATCCTACCTAACCTCAACGTACAAAGGCTAATCTGAACTAACGTCTATAGGCAAAGGTTAGTCTAACCTAACCCGTAGTAACAAAGGTTAGAGCAACCTAACATCTACGTAAAAATGTTAGTCTAACCTAACCTCCACGTGCAAAGGTTAGACTAATCTAACCTTTACGTACAAAGGCTAGTGTAACCTAACCACTACATACGAAGGTTAGACTAACCTAACCTCTACTTACAAAGGTTAATCTAACCTAACCTTTACACACAAAGGTTAATCTGAACTAACGTTTATAGGCAAAGGTTAGTCTAACCTAACCCATAGTAACAAAGGTTAGAGCAACCTAACATCTACGTAAAAATGTTAGTCTAACCTAATCTCCACGTGCAAAGGTTAGACTAATCTAATTTTTACGTACAAAGGCTAGTGTAACCTAACCATTAAATATGAAGGTTAGACTAACCTAACCTTTACTTACAAAGGTTATTCTGACCTAACCTTTACACACAAAGGTTAGTCTAAAGTAACCTCTACATACAAAGGTTAATCTAATCTAACCTTTGCACACAGGGTTTAGTCTAACCCTACCTCTACATACAGAAGTTAATCTAACCTAACCTTCAGGCACAATGGTTAGTGAAAGTTAACCTTGTTTTATACCACTGGTCGTCCTCGCTAGCTGAACGCGTCACTCGCCTACCCAAACATTTTATAACAAATTAACGGAATTTAAAAAAATATTTTAAAATAGCCCAATCCTTTGTGAATAAAACAAAAAAGAATTTAACTAAATCGGTTGAGTATTTTCTGAGAAAAGAATTCGTAAGTGAAGCCTATTTTCGCCAAATATGTACAAAAATTGCAAACTTTGAAGGCTTGTTATTTCTTAAAAAATTCGAAACCGGCAAAATGATGACTTAAATCCCCCCTAATTTCACATGGACAACAACAGCTTTTAGTCAGCTTTTGATTAGAGCAGAATCGCAGATAGTGACGTCCAACAGCGATCGATTTCGCGTGGAATGACCCGTACATATCAAACTCAAATTGCATATTGCATATCAAGCTCACTATTGTATTAAATAACTAAATCACAATATCCTCCATTTCCGCCATTTCCATTATTACATTAATAACCAAATGTATGTCAAACTCATATTGTATATTGCATACCATGTAAGGTTGTTTTTACAACAAAATTGTTTGGTAAGAAAGATGTTCCTTTAAACAAATTAAATATTAAAATTATATCTATTGATCATTAATTAAATATTAAATATTATGAAAAAAGGAGTCTACAATATTTTGTCCCCACATACCAAACTTTTGTATTAAATAACTAAATTACAGTTTCCCCCATTTAAAACCATTTTTGCACCCCGTAAATTATAAAGTAGTCAAGAAGCTAATTACCGAAAAGTATTTTTCGACCAGCACGAATTTTCCCTAGTCCCAGGATGAATTTAACCGACGAGAGGTCTGAAAGCGACTAAAATGCTTGTCGGAAGTTACTTGGGTTTTAGTCGTCCGTAAAAAGGTGGCAAGCAGTTTTCCGAAGTTGAGCTTCAAAAATTTAACCGTCTCATTTATAGTGCGCGTAAAAACTCCAACGTTTCGCGAGAAGGCGAAATTGCAATTCTGTTCGTTGCTCGTTACGAATTTTCGATCACCTAGGGCGAGGAACTTCAGGGAAAAATTGACCTAGTAAAACATTTTATAACTAAATACAGATACGGTAGCTTCATGGATTTATTCAGTTTTATAAACAAACGAGGCGCGTACATTTCTGTTGTTAAATAACTGTGGACGCTTATAATAGCTTTCTCAAGTTATTTTATTATTTTATCAGTAATATAATTGGTTTATGTAGAGTTTTGTATATTTTCAGTAATTTAATGTGGATGGCAAAAGACATAAATTTTCTGAAATATGTTTTGTATCAAGTTATTTTACTATTTATTTATCAGTAATATAATAGATTTGTGTTCAGGTATATTTTGTACATTTTCTGTCGTTTAATTTAGGTAGAAAGTTGTATAGATTTTCTGCAATATGTCTTTGATTTAATATCTTTTAATGTATTTTCTATATTTTCGTTTCACTAAATTTTCTCTGAAGTGACTCGCAATTTTTATATTTTCCAAATCTCCATAATTCTAAATTTCGACATTCCTCAAATTGTTATAGTACCAAAATATTCCCCAAGTCTCTATATCCCACATAAAAATTAAAAAGCGTCAGAATAATATATTAGAACCAAGTTTTCTATGGTTATACAAATGGTGAGGGTAGTTCAGACTGAAACATGAAATTCATCAGTTTGAGCAGTAAATGGACAATCTGTACTTTGTCTTCGGTTTCAATCACGACCACGAGTTCCGTTCATCTGCCATTAACCGCGATATTAGAGACTGATTCATTAACTTTCACAAACGAGCCCTTTGACGTTGACCAAAGACACATTGTTAAATGAACCGATCGGAGAGCCATCAAACTATCTTGTTTGTCTTTCCTTGTTGCACATTCAAGCTGATGTTTCCTGATAACTTGTGCCTGTTCCAGACCCGGGCACGACATACTGTAAACTGCATTCATATTGATGTACGCATTATCTCAGCCAAACATGTCGATCAGCGGCGAAATATTAATGTTCTGAAAGTTGGATGATGTTCAATCGGATTATTGAAAAAATTTCGTCCTCGAGAA